CTTCGCGCAACATATAACAGGACACGGGTAATTCCCGCGGGGGACGCTAGTGCATAAACACAGGTAATTCCCGGGCGATTCCGAATGGTGATCGCGAGTCCCCCTTACTGCTGCTTTTGAAGCATACGAAACATCGCGCTTTATAAACATTACCATTGAATGGATTGCCTTGAAGTTTTCACATACCTATTTCCAAGTATTGCGGATGAACCTTACGAAAAATCAGCATCAAATTTTAAAAACTCAGTGAATAAATGTTTTTTACTAATTGTCGTTGTAAACCTCAAAAATGAGAGTTTTGCTAAAAATCACATTTTCGCCGTTTTCTTCAAAACGGCTCCAAGTTTTTTCTTTAAAATTCCTACATCAATAGACCAGAGCTTTGTCTAAATGGTAATGGAATTTCTACAGCTCGTCCTATCCGCATTTTGGATACAACATTTCTTAAAGTGAGGTGTACCTAAAGAGCATTGTGGAATGTCCGAGAGCGTTGTCGTCGACCGATATTGAATTCATTGTTTCTAGCGTGGTGAGCTCTTTAGGTACACCTCACTTTAAAAAATGTTGTCTCCAAAATGTGGATAGGAGAGAATCCCCAACGGGTGTCCACCTATTTGGATAAAATATTTCTTCTGCTCTAATTAACGTTTTTCGTGAAACTTCGTGGAATTTAATCCCTTTAATGATTTATTATGCAGGAAAAGAAGCTTCCTTGTTTTCTATTTAATATTTTTATTATTTAATATACGTAGAGCAGTTGTATGGAAAAACTTTGTCAACTTTGTCAGCAAATTCCTCGTTGGCATAGTTGGTGAATCACTAGACTATCACGCAAAGTGTCCCAGGTTCGAGACATGGTAAGTCCAAGGTAAAGAGAAAAGAATAAGTTAGTTACGTAAGTAGATAGTAGCTAGAAGTATAAGAAGTAAGTAATGGAGGAGAGAGATAAAGAAATGAGGCAAATGGGTGGAAAGTGGATGAGAAATTCTCTTCTAGCTATTTTGAGACACCACGACAAATATGTAGATTTAAAATATTTCAAACACTAGTGATGAAAATGGTTTTTCATTAGGTTTCAAAATCCATCCACGTGATCTAAAAAGTACCCCTCCATTGGTTGCTGAGCTTATAAATTATTAATGAGTTTGAGAACGACATAAGAAGGTTCTTTAAGAATTGCCTGTGACTCCGATTGCGCTTCTTTGTGGATTCCCAACTAAAAAGTAAGTTTTTTAGTATGACACAGCGAAGCAAATATATCCTGTTGGAAAAAGTACTACTTGAAGATGAAAATGGACCTTTCGAAGTTCCTGTAGGAGAAATCCTGGAAGAGATCGATTCTTCTGATTATTCTATCTGGAGTAGCGACGTGTTTCTCTTTCATGCACGTCGACAAAGAAAGCTAACGTTTTCAACTAAAGCAGTTGCGAGACTTACTGATCTTCACGCCGCTAATCTACTGAGTATCAAATCGCTAAAGCAAAGACTAACCGATTTTCAAGCGAGAAATTGCTTTGCAAAACCACCGAAAACAGGAAATCAGGTGTTTGTTTCTGTGAGAGGAAGAGAATTCAAAGGGATAGTCAGGGCGGTTTCATCGATGAGTGATAACGATTCTTCCTTCAAAGTGCAGCTTTTCAACGAGGTACGTATATACTTTGTCACTATTAACTTCTTTTACGAGTTTTTTTTTATGGAATACTCTCCCGTTTAGTGGATTTTGAAATTTTGTCAAATCATGTCTAACGTCTTTAAAGCCATCTCTTATGCATGAATGTTCTTACGTATGTGCTTAATAAAAGCTAGGGAAGCTAAACTCTTGCTGTCTCTTCCTTTGTCTGGTATTTTAGTGTTCCTTCTTATGAAACCATACAACCGCCAAAAACACTGAATTCATGAAATAGCATAGCACAAATTTACAACAGTACAAATAGTCTACAGAGAAGGCTAGATTATTATTTTTTCGGAATCGTTGTCGAACTTATCAATCGCTCACAAGCAGACTTATTTTAAAGATTTGTCCTTCAAATAAATTTGATTCAAAATTATTGATCAGGCTAAAAACATGAGCGAAAATCAAGAAATGCCTTTTTTTTTTACTTTCATTTTCATTTTTGCTCATGCAAATTACCCACGGCCACCTGTCATTGACTGAAACTCGTCATTAAACAATGTTTGCATAAAGCACTTTCTGGATCAAACAGCGTTAGGTTTTTGTTTTCTTTGGGGTTTTATGATCCCATCATAAATACTTAATTTTTCATCTTAACTGGAGGAGAAATCGGGGGAAATGTGAAAAAGAAATTACCATTCATAGAATTCAATAAATAAAAAATTACTCAGGAGAGAGAAGAAATAGAGATGAATTGTCCTCCACTTCGTCTGTAGATAGCGAAACAGCTCAACCAAAATCCAAGTTACAGGAAATGGCCGACGCAGGACTAGCGTCGGAAACGTCAGTCAATTTTTTCATCTTTTCACGGTGTATAATTTACCTTTTCATCATTACTAGATCTAAGATAATGAAAATAACTCGTATGTTTTAGAGTCTCTTCATTAAGTCATTAGCATATGTGCTGGAATAACCTTAGTCGTTTTTGAATTGTCAAGTACTTTAGGAGTTTGAACGTACAGCTTTTTCTAACGCTGCTATCCCAATGCTTTGTTCTGGTTTCAACGGTTATTTGTTGAACACTGTCTTTTTAATGACATTCATTGTTTTTGTTAATGAATTGGGTTTGTTAGAAATGTGGATTACGTGTATTACGTGTTAACCTTTTGCATTAATTAATTAATTAATTAATTTCAAATGTCTTCATTCCATTTATCGAAAAAGTGTTGTTCTATGGAGGATTGCAACAGAATTACGACATATTTAGAATGGCATTCAACCGTTTTAATTTTGAGATAATGTCGCTTAATGTCAGGGGACTTGGAAACTATACAAAGCGGAGAAAAATATTTTATTAGCTTTTCAAACACGGTGCCTCCAAGGGGATAATTTTCATTCAGGAAACACACCCATTTGAAAACAGTCAAAGAGAGTGGAAACAAATCTTTAAAGGCGAGGCAGTGATGTCTCACGGTACCAACAAAAGCAAAGGAGTGGCAATATTGTTAGGGGACAAACTCAAGTATAGAATTAAGGAGAAGAGTATGGATAAAAATGGCAGATACATTATCATAGAGATAGAAATTCAAGGTAGTGACTTTATTTTAGTCAATACGTATCAACCGAACGACGAAAAGAGTCAATTAGAAACCCTTAAGAAGCTAATCGCTGATATTAACTCTTTAGATAGCTCGATTATTTGGTCCGGAGATTTCAACATTATTTTCGGCATTGACCTGTAAGCCTCCGGAGGCAATCCCTCTCTTAAAATTAAGACCTTAGAAACATTAGATACATTATGCTCAGATTTAGATCTGTGTGACATCTGGAGAACCAAAACTTAAACAATTCACATGGACAGGGGTAGCTCAAGGAAAAGCTACGTCTAAATGCACTAGACTTTTTAGACGCCTTGATTATTTTTTCATTTCAAATAGTTTGCAACCTGTTATTGAATCTTCTAAAGTTACAGTCGCTCATTCGACAGACCATTCAGCTATATCTATTAAACTATCATCATTTGATGAAGGTCCCCGTGGTCCTTCTTTTTGGAAATTGAACAACTCTCTTTTGAAAGAAGATAAATACATTAAAGAAGTGAATGATTTGGTCTACAAAGTAATACAAAACACTAAAGACGAAGGAATTACAAACCCACAATGCAAGTGGGAGTTAATAAAATATGAAATAAGAAGGTTTTCAATCGCATATTCAAAAGCTAGAGCAAATCTGAAATAGGGTGGCTAGGCCCAAAAGACATACATGAGGACATGACCCATGCGAGAACTGAGCTCTATAATCTGAAATGGATAGATTTTTATGAATCTGGGATTAAGATATTAGGTATATACTTCTCCTATAACTATAACTATTACAATACCCACAATTTTGAAAGAATTTTGGAAAACTTCAAAACTACTTTGTCTATTTGAAAAGGCAGAATGCTCACTCCAATAGGAAAAATACAAGTAATTAACTCGTTAGGTCTATCCAAACTTCTTTATGTTTGTTCGGCAATTGGAGCCAATAAAAGGTATATTAAGCAAGTTAAGAATGAAGTGGCTAATTTCATATGGAATGGAAGAAAACCAAAAGTAAAGTATAAAACACTGATAGGCTCGTATGAAGAGGGAGGTTTGAAACTTGCTGATTTTGAAAGTAAGATTAAGGCAAGTATGTTTAAATGGGCAGTGAAATTAATGGATGGTACAAAGAGATACTGGAACTTTATACCTTTAATAAAATTACAAAGCATTGGAGGGATTGAGTCTATGCACATAGATTACGATAGCAATAAGACACCGCGTGGCATGCCAGTATTTTATAAGAACGTATTAAAGGTTTGGGCAGAAGTGAGCTGTACAAAAATAGATAATGAAGATTTGGGGGCTATTTTAAAGCAACCACTGTGGAACAATACTTTTATCATATATACGTGTGATCCATATAACATGAAACGTTTCCTGGACTGTGAAATAGGTTTTATTGATGACCTTTGGAAATCGGAAAAAGGCTTTCAATGGGAGGTAGCCGTGAAAAGGGTTTAACCAATACTGATTGGTTAGTGTGTATGGGTCTTATCAAGGCTATTCCAGTAGAGTGGCAAAAGGTTTTGAAACAAAATTTAAATTCTGAAATATTAGATATATCTCCAGCAATTCGAGAAATATCATTAAATGATAAGGTATTCAATATCAAAAAGATTTCCACAAGGCAAGTGTATTGTAAATTAGTTACTAAGAAGTTGGAACCTCCTACGTCCCAGCGTAGATGGCAGTCAATGTTAAAAGATCACCAGATTGATTGGGGAAATGCATTTTCCTTGATCAATAAAATCACAATAGAGACAAAACTAAGGTGGTTTCAGTACAGGATACTTACTAATTGTCTATATCTTAACAAAGACTTGTTTCGTTTTAAGATAATAGATAGCCCTTTATGCTCTTTTTGTCGACAAGAAATAGAAACAACAGAACATCTTTTTGTTAAGTGTGAAACTACGCGTAATTTATATAGCGGGATAGTGAAAAGTAAAAAATTATAGCTGAGACCTACCGATATTAAACACCTATATAATGATTTTAGGAAACAGTGATAAATCAGATGCTATACTAATTAATTTCATATTATTAATCTTTAAGTCGTATGTCTATAGATGTAGGAGTTTTTTGAGCCAGATGGATCTGACAGGATTCAAGGCATATCTAAGATATCATGAGAAAGTAGAATACTATTTAGCTTTAAAAAATGATAGGAAACAATATCACCTAAAAAAATTCTGCAATATAAGAAAGGCATTAGATTTAGACTTTCAATAGACAAAATTAAAAATGTTTTTGTACACAGTACTGAAAATGTTAAATGAATTCTAATAAGAAATGTTTCCTCCTGACATTTGATTTTGTAAAGATATGAAATTATATAAATGTATTTATGTATTTGTAAATAATTTTCTCTTTTTCTTTTTTGATGGATGGAATAAAGATCTTTTTTTTTTAAAAAAAAAGAATAAAAAAGCCGACAGTTTACGAACGGCTATCAATGTTTGTGCGTGAATAAAATTCAGTAAAGATACTGGAAATAGCTAGCAAAAAAAAAAAAAAAMAGAGAGAGAGAGAGACTTTGAAACTGGGGCGCACGAAGAAAATGATGGCGGTTAGATAGATATAAGGAGCTATAAGGTATACTTCAAAATTTTCCATTCCTTCCTAATTTAGCTATTTTTTTTCCATGGAAACATAAAATCCTTTAAACATCCTTTATATCTAATGCTAGGTCAACCTTGATGAGCACTTTATACAAGATGGCGAAACATTGATTAGCATGAAGACTTGTGGACTAGATGTTCTTTGGCATTTACCAAATGGTGGTATTGGTGTTTCGGTCTCTTTGGACAAATTGCGTCCTCGCTATGAAACCCTGTCATCAAACAAGCATCAAACAAGAGCGGTGAGAGGAGAAATTGAAAATGAGAAGAACCGATTACTCAATAGCTGCCAGAAATCAAATATGCATAAAGTTGCACTGGCTACAAAAACGGAAGCGAATGATAAAGAGCATGAACGACAATTATCTTGTACAAAAAAAGATAAAGAAGAAGCCGAGAAACAACTTCAAAGCTCTGAAGAAAAAACAAAACATCTTGAGACTACACTACCCATTGCAAGTATAGATCAACAAAACTACAAAAACTTACAGTTAAAATTTAATAAGCTTCAACAAGCTAATGGCGAGACCCAGAAACGTCTCCAAAGCTGTGAAGAAAGAGAGCAAGAGCTCCAGAAAACGCTTGCTGAAACACAAAAACTTGTAAAAAAGAAACAAGAACCTGACAATGAGTGCGAATGGACTTTGAATCGAGAAGAGATTCAGATTACTGAAGAAAAGCTTGGAAGCGGAACGTTTGGAACTGTGTACAAAGGAATGTTTCGTGGTACACAAGTTGCTGTAAAACAAGTCTCAGTGAAGCCAAAGATTACCGAGTACAACATAGAAAACTTTAGAAGGGAAATGAAAATGGCGTCTAGATGTCGACATCCTTGCATGTTACAGTTCATTGGTGCAACAAGTGATGATCAAAGTCCATTATTGATGACTGAACTGCTGGACACTAGTTTAAAAGCTGTCTTACTTGAGCGTGCATTAAACCTTGTTGAGATTATAACTATTGCACTGGATGTTGCTAAAGGGTTAAACTACTTACATCTTACCCGTCCACATCCTATCGTTCACCGTGACATCAGCAGTGGTAACGTGTTGCTATGGAAACATGGTCAGTCATGGCGAGGGAAGATTTCAGACTATGGGAATGCTGTGCTGATGAACTATGCCAAGACAGGCAGTGGTGGTGCTATTTCGTACTTGGCACCTGAAATGAACAACAAAAGATTTTCACCAAAGGTATAACATTAGTGAAGCTTACTTTACTAAAGAACGTTTGTGCATACTATTTAGGGATAACGAACAAAAAATGTTTGTAAGTAAGCTCGCCAGAATGCATCACGTCCGTTGACTACTGAATTATTATTGTCACTTTTGCATATTTAGATCATACAAAAGTTGTAATTTGACGTTTATTGTATTTAGGAAATTTTTTATTTTTAAACGTCATTGATTAATTAAACTTGATTGATTGATTGCGCCCTCAACACAATTCGTTGAAAAAATTAAATTGGTGTGACTTGCTTAATAACGAAGCTGATGTTGAAATAAAACAGTAACAATCACATGTACAAAACAAAGCGCAACATCCTAAACATTACTTGCGGTTCTACATGTCATTTGTCATGTTTGGTATTAAAAAGCTTCATTTTATTAGTAGTGGCTTGGATGTTTTGCAGACCGATTTGGATTTGTTGATTGTTTCGCGAAATCGTCAGCGAAGCAGGTTCATTTTGCAATCAGTGGAGGATTAAAAGTATCTCAATGGTCTATTATTTTTCCCCAGAGTGATGTATTTAGCTTTGGTGTTCTTCTGCTGGAAATGTGCCTCAGAAAAGAGCCATCATGTCTTGGTGATAGAGGTGAGCTTATTTGCTTGGTAGAGAATGGAGAACTGAGGTCCCTGATACGAAGTTGTCTTCAAAAGGAACCCACACAACGCCCATCCATGGATGAAGTCTTAGCCGCACTAACTACAGCCTCGAGCTCCCACTCTGAATTGACAGGCACCAATTAAATAATTATTGTCCAACATTTACTTGCCACTGTTTTGATTGCTACACACTGATTGAGACAAATGTTGGTGCAGTTTGCTGTTCCACGGTTTCTTTGTTCCCTTACATACCCTAACCAGTATTTGATTGACAGTAGTGTATTATTGCCCATTTACCTATTGTGACTTTTTTTTTCGACCAGTGCATAGCAATGAAAACAGTGGTAATTGCATTTCTTGGAAATAACTGTATATATATATATATACACTTGATTGCAGAAAGGTTGTAGTATACATTTATA